TTATTTAAGAAAGGACTTGTATCGCTGAAGTTCCTCGGGAAGAATTTTTACTGGAAATTAACAAACGAACAGAGACGTAACAGTACGTTACAATAGTACCCAGTATTTCTGCACACTACAATAGTTAAACATTATTTTTCTCTTTAGAAAAAATATAATATATATAAATTTTTTCAAATCTACTTTTTGAAGTATTCATAATATAATAAATAATAAGATCTAATTTCGATTACATGTCTGAAATAAAAACTACAGCATAGTACATAAATTTATAAAACGGCGCAGAAAATGTAAAGTGCATCACATTCCTTGGTACTTTATAAATTATATTTTGTATAAATGCGTTCATTACAATGTGTGTACCTAATTTATTCGATGTTTAAACATGGTTTGAAATGACTAATAAATATTCGAATGAAATATTCTTGAGAAGTTCTTCTTTAATGTTTTCATTGAACTATGCTCATTGTCGATGAGTTATTACTATTACTCAGTATTAGAGCATCTGTCATTATGATACGAATAAATGATAAGTAAATAGTTAATAAATTTTAAAGCGTTGAGAACTTATAAAGATAATTCATTTTGATTATAGTATAACTTGATAATGATAGCAGCGTTATTTAGTATTAAAGTTTATAAAATATAGTTATTTAACAATTTTTATATAATCAGTTAGACTTAAAGAACAAATATATCTGACGTCTAAACTAGCTATCCATAACTATAAAATGGTAGAAATGAAAATGGCGTACGGCTTAGTAAACTATTTTATACTCTAACGTTCTATTAACATTGTCCTGATTTCTTATAGAAATAAGAACCAAGTTTTCAGGACTATCTTACTCAGGTAAACGAATGTTTCCATTGAATTATTCGAATATTAACGTCTTAGATATGAATGACAACTCACAATTTTACCTTTTTTTTTTTCTTCATCACATCATATTAGGCCTAACTGGATTGTGTTATAGCCTTGTGGTTTATAGGCCTAACGTAACTGTTACAACTTACAAGTTATGAGCCAATGTATATGTTACTTTGTATTAAATATTACTAACACCGTATGAAAAATTCTCTTTGTTAACTCAAAAGTTCTATAATTTGTTTTTAAAAGGAAAAACAACTTTGTTAATAGAAATAACTGTAGTATTCTGATGTTAGTGCTAGTACTACTGACTACTACTAGTTCTTGTAAATACTAATACTATAATACCAGTAATGGTAATAGTAGTTATTACTACAACAACATAGTCACAGAACACAGGCAAATTATTCCTCTAAGTGTTATTAATTTATAAGGATTATGTAAATTTTCTGGTATAAGTAAATTGTATTCTAATTTCTAACAATTAGATTGTGATAGTGCAGTTATGATGTGTGTATCATGAAAATATTATGTATTTTAAAATAATTTGTTTTTGGTCATAAATCAGTTTCTTCTGTTACAATCTTTGAAAGATTCTTAACAAAAATGCTATTCAAATATCTTAGTTTTGTTTAATTCAAAATATCATGTATGTATGAATCTAAGTTTCAAATGGATAGCAACTGCCTGTTGTAGAAACCTACAAATGTAAAGGACAACGGTTCAAAATGGAAGACTTTCGAAACATTGTCCTCTACATTTGTAGGTTTCTACAACAGGCAGTTGTTGTCCATTTGAAACTTAGATTAATTATGAATACTCTGCCTAAACAACCTATCAAAGATTATCATGTATGTATGTATGTTCTTAACAATGTGATTCTGAGAAATAGATTGTAGAATGGTAAATTTTATGAATTTCATCAGATATTGCACCATCGGAATCAGATGGTTGAACAAGTGTTTAAAGAAATTAAAGCTACAAAGATTAGGTTTAGAAATTTGGAAATTGGACACTCATTTAAGCCCTCATGTTTGAAAAATGCACGAGGGCTGTAAACAGCTCCTGCCAAACAATACATGGGGGCTGATACTGTATCTATATTCTTTGTTTACAAAATTGGACAATAAAATTTAATTAGTATTGATTGAATTGTACTGTTTTCTATTAAGTGAACGTGTGGTTGTATTTCTAGGGCAAAGTGAGGGTAAGAAGCAAATATAAGGCAGTCAAAAACGTGAGATAACAGATTCTACTTTTATTTTATTATTTTATATGTGTTCTGCTCATTTATTATTCTTTCTTTCATTTAGTTTAACTTTGCATCTTCAGTTACATTAAAGTGCTAACTCACCTTCTATCTAGAGCACATTGATTTTGAGTGTGTATGTATCATGAAACTGACACAAGTGTTCTTGATTGTAGTGGCATTTTTTTATGTCGTTATAGCTTAATGTATACATTTTTGTATGTAAAAGTGTGTTTAAAAAAAGGAGTTTGAAGTCTTGTAAATAAAAAAAAATATGTTTACTTATCATTCTAATTATTAAAATTTTGAATATAAATGTGGAACTGTTGCCATATGTGAACATCTGGAGTGTATAGTGATTTCTTAAAAGCTCATATTTGTTTACTAGAACTTGTTACATCACAAAGAAATGCATAGAGTTGTTTTTCCAATTGTAACTATCTTTTAGGATTTGGTAAAAAAATGAATGGGCATTGAAACTTAATATTTTAAAAATAGTGGTTTAAATAGAGAAATTATCATTGTTTTAAGAGGTGTATATGTCTCTCTTCTACTGGTGGAAGGATACAGTCTAATACTGATTGCATCATAGACAAGTGCAGTAGGGGTGGTAGTTATGTTCACAGGTTTGGCACATACGCAAAAACATTTTAGCAGTGGCAAGAAGTATTAGTTATCTGTTCTGTGGAGAGGTGAGTAGAATTCTTGAACAGTAATATTTTGAAAAATATAAAATGTACCTTATCTTCCATGTGCTATACTCACTTTGAGCACTGTGTATACCTAAAGCTCAGTATTTTCTATGGCTATGCAGTGTTTAGTTGGGTTGTTTTTTCATTAAGAATTGTGAAATTTTTGTGCTCATTATTTTCACCATTTTGGTTAACATTTAAAGTATTATCTTTTTTATCTTTGTTTCTCAATTTCTAAAAATTAATGTACAGATTTTAAACAGTTGGTTTCAGTTACATTGTCTGTTACGAATTATGTTATTTTCTTACTTTATTTTGATTTGTTTTGTTCTCTTAATTGTATTATTAAGATTTTGGCACATATGTTCTAGAGCCTGTGATTTGGTTTCTTTGACAAGAATATCCTCCATGGTCAGTAACTCAGTGTTTGGGTTTTGACAATATGAAAATGATCAAGGCCTAAGTACTATAGACATACCAGACTTACTAAGTAAAAATAGTATGATAATAAAAGATAAATAAATTATGAAAAAAGTTAAATAATATTACCACTTTCCATAAATTCAGTTTCATGGATCTTGTTGAATATGATTTCTTATATCCATGTTCCTGAAACCTCCGGGTTCCAGATTCCTGTACAGGATTTGTCATATTTTCTCTAAATGGCAACATGGTGAATGGATTTACTCTGACAATATGCATCACATGGTGGGTTCTAATCCTGCATTCTTGATCTTGGATCCAGGACTCATGGCTTCCTTATTTTGTTACTTCTGCTGGGCCTGCCTTGTCTTTGAATGTCTCTGACCAGCTATTCCTGTGACCTGACATTGCTTCTGGTTGTTTTATGTTTGATAAGGATCAAGTAACACCTGCCTTTGTTCTTCACTGTTCTTTTAATTCAGGTATACACCAATTATACATTTACTTCAGTTTTTTTGTGCTGGTTTTAGGGCAATCTTTTTGCATACATCTCAACTCATGAGATTTTTTTCTCCTCTTCCTCCCTTGCCTGATTGTTGTATCATTGTAGATTCTTTTTCTTAACTTTTAGTTGCCATGTCTTCCTTTAACTTATACTCCTTCTATGTGGTTTGTCGTGCGTATTCATCTTGAATGTGTTCTCCCAGCTTAGAGATTTTTCATCTTTGTCTACTTTGATTTTTTTTAAAAACCCTCAACCTGATCATCTTCATCCTTTTCTTACATTCTTAGCTTGCTGTCCTCTTTACCCTTTCCTTCTGAGGTTCTTATAACTTTTCCAACAGTATTACTGGGAAATATCACATTAATGTGTTCTTCATGATCCCCATTTTCTTTTTCAGTTATTGCCCAGTTCACTTGCTGTCTTTGTTTCTGGGATTTGCTTCTTCTGAAACGGTACTACCTCCTCTCACCCAAAGCTATCTCAACCTTGATTTGCCATCTAAGCATTGCTAACATTTTTCAACAGTGCACCAGTCTTTTATATCCTTTCATTTTTGCACCATTGCAGCAACATTTGCTGATCATGTGACTACTCTCCACCAATCATACTGAACCATCTATATTAGTGCAGATAACTCCCTCTATCATTACAGCACAATCCTCATTTTCTCGATTGGCATTCTAGTGTATAGAATTTGTGTGTTTGATTTCCATTGTTTTTATTTGTTTGTTTTAGAAATGTTTCTGTTTCCAAATTCTACTTTGTGTAAATGAATTCAATATTTAATATGGCAGATGTTGAAATTCTAGCTAAAAGTAGAATACTAGTTCCCAGGTCTCAGGGTTGATGATGTCTGCTGGGGAAGCACAGGTTTTAGTTCATGGGGAATTCGTATCTTACATTTGGCAGACAATTTTTCCTTTCACGTCATGATTTTTGTGAAGATGGATATAACTGCTGTGTGGAACTACTGTCTTTCTATGGCACTTTCCACCTGTTACCATGCCTCCACGTAATCTGCTGGGTTAGGTGTTGTTCTTTTTCCAGGAGATCTGTGGTGAGTTTTTCACTGTGTATTTCTCACTCCCCATGTACAGTCACTTTGTGTGATTTTGTGTGGATAGACCTAATTTCTGCACTGATTTAGGTCATTCATGTCTTCTCTGGTCAGTGTTGGGTAAGTTAGATTTTTATACTTCTTTTACCATCTAGGTTAATTTAGTTTAAACTTGTGTTTGGAGTTTGATTATTCCTTTGTTTTTATTTACATTTTTACTTCTTTTTACAGTTAATGTTATTTTGTTTGCAAGTTCCTTTTTCTTTACTGATTGGGGATTAGATTAAACTTTGTTATGGTTAACTGGATACCTTTTTATTCTTATGTTCTTCAGGGTCAATTGAATTTTCGTGTCCTATGTCTTATAGATTCTTTGGGTGGACTTAATGTTCAATATTTAAGGGTCCCTTATCTTCTAAGTTCCTTTAGTGGTTTTGTACTTTGGGTGTTGCATATTGTTTTCTGTTTTATGTCAAATTTCATAGCTTTGCAGGTTTGTTATTTTTATTTACTTTGTAGACTTTACATTTTTCTACATTTGGTTAGTTCATTAGTAATGAGAACTTTCTCTGAGTTTAGTTTATATCTCTTTCACTACAATTCATGACAGTTACATGGGTTCTACAGGTTATGTCTGTGAGTTTCTGCCTTCCATTTTACTTCCCCTCTATGTACTTCCTGGATCTCCTTCTCATCGGGATTGTACCTCATCCAATCGTCTTACCGAGTCTGTTCGAGACCTACTACACAAAGGAGCCATTGAACAGGTGGTACCAACTCAACATAATCACCTCTCCACAGAATCCCATCCTTTCTTGTCAAGAATGAGCTTATGGTATATAAAAAGTGCTACACAAAGGAGCCTTTGAACAGGTGGTACCAACTCAACATAATCACCTCTCCACAGAACCCCATCCTTTCTTGTCAAGAATGAGCTTATGGTATACAAAAAGTGCTCAAGGGTGTTACTTTACATAGAGGATGTGTCACCCTCCAGTTAATGAAGGGTTATAGTTTGATGCTGATTGCATCATGGATAGGTGCAGTACACATTATTAACTGTAGGAGTGGGCATTTCATTCAAAGTCCTGACACATGCACAAAATCTTCTTGGCAGTAGTGCAATGCATTAGTGGTATGTTCTGTGGAGAGGTAAGTATATATCTGAAAGAGATTTTCAAGGAAGGAGAGTGTTACCTTTAAGAATAATTTAATATTAATCCTATTTTATTAACAAAAAAGTATGTGACATAGAAATTGCCATTTTTGAATGTTGTTAAAAATATCTTGAAAGCAATAAGAAACTAATTCATTTAAACAGGTTCTCATTCTTTGTTTTACCAGGTACTTCATTGAGAATTAGACAGTTAATGTATGTTACAATTTCTTAATGATATTTTTAGATTTGGAATTTAATAGTTTGTTACTACAATTGATGAACTGTAATGTTTTTCTGTTCTCTAAAACTTGAATGTTAAGCATAGTAATGCTGTTAAAAAGTGTAAAAAACAAACAGGAGTGGACAGCATTAAGTAGTTATTGAATCCTGTTGAAAAAATACATACTTTCATAACTAGTTTTGAAATTTTTGCATGTTTGGTTTTCTTCTAAGTTCAATTTTTGCATGAACATAAACTTTACCTTTTTTTGTTGTTCAGGTACAATATTTATTACAATTTAAATTAATTTGGTATGGTATTTTATTACAGGAATGCCTGAGACAGATGAAAATCCACCAGGAGAACTTAATCCTGTTTGTTCTCCAAATTTTGAAACACCAGTTGCTTCTGGTGCTGAAAGCACTGAATCTGTACCATCAACCAATACACAAGATGATGAAATTTGTAAAGAAGGAACTTCTTTAAATAGTTCTAACATGATGTATCTAAAAAAAGACTTTACAAGTGATGATGGAAATATTATGAATGAACTTAATAAAAATGGTCAAAATGTAACTAGCACTCTTGAAGATGCATGTAGTTCCGACAAGAAAGATGAGGATTGTACACCTTTAGATTGTTCATTTGAACAAACCAATAAGGGTCAGAAATCAAACAATTCAGAAAGGAGCTGTTCTTTTGTACCAATCTTTCATCCCTCAGTCTGTACAAGCTCTTCTTTTGAAGAAAATTTAAATAGTAAAATCATGGTCCACCAAAGAGTCAACTCGTCAGATGAAAAACAGACATGGTTGAAGCCTCCAACATTCTTCATTGAGACTCCTAAAAATAAAAGCTTGGTATTTGGCCAGTTTCATAACTTCATTGGTTCAAATCATATGGACCCAGGAATTCACTTGCACAACCCATCAGTATTGAATAACAATATTGTTAAAAATGTTAAAGAAATTGGATTCCAAAATGAATTTTTAAAAGATTTGTCATTGCATGATGATGGTATTCGAAGTATAAATAAAACTAATAGTGAACTTAGGACTGAGGAGCTTAATCCTGAAGTTTTAAAAATCAAGCATTCTTCAGACACAGTTTCTTTGGATGAAAGTAGAATTTGTTCTAGGCCATCTTGTACAGTAGAACATCCTGAACCTTTAGTATCAAGTGCTGGTTCTCTAGGGATGACACAAACATTCAGTTTGTCAAACCAAAAGAAGAGAAAAAATGGTAATAGTTGTTCCACCACAATTTATGCAGAGAATGAAGATCCTGAGTTTGAAATGAAGAAAAAAATTATTAAAGTTGATACAACAAGCAATCTTGAATATCAGCCATGGTTACATGATAATAAATATCCTTTAGAACAGGATTGTAATGACAAAACCTTCTTAGATCAAAACCAAACGTTTGGTACTAAGTCAAACAGTGTACATAAGCAGCATGGAAGATTTATATCTGATTTCAGGAACTGTAACTTTGAAAAATCTCATGAACCAGAAAGTAGTGACTTGCAAGAATTAAATAAGTCAGCAGTTATGTTTGACCATGAACAGTCACACATTAGAGCTTCTCAAAGTAATACTAATAACAGTCACTTTGACAGCAAAAACAGTTTCATGTTAGAAGATTCCATTGGACAAGTCGGCCATTATTCAAAGGAAATGGATCATGATGATACCAAAAATACTCGAGCTTACCAGTGTGATATCTGTCACATGAAATTCACTCAGTTTGCCAACATGCGCAGACACAAATTGAGCCATTTTGGAGTTAGACCTTTTGAATGTCGCTTATGCCCAAAACGTTTTTTTCGAAAAGATCACCTGATGGAACATATTGTACGACAACATTCATTGCAGAGACCTTTCCGTTGCCCTTTCTGTATTAAAAGCTTTAACAGTCGACCACAGTTGAAAGCGCATCTGTCATTAGAGCACAGTGGGAATAAGCTTTGCAGAATTTGTGGTTTTGAATCTGTTTCTGTTGCAGGAGCCAAAGTGCATTACTCATCCCGTCATGGTAAGTCTAACTCAGAAACTTTAGATGGCTCTTCTGTACCCTCTGTAGGAGGTGATTTAGTTCAGTCATCAGTTGTCAGAGACATAGACTTAAACACTGTTTCTCAAAAAGTAGTTCCTGGTATGTTTCATCATCCAGTTACATCTTCAAATCAATTAGTTGATGGTAGTAAATCTTTCTCAACTCATCTGTTTTGTGAACCACCATCATTAGTAGTTGCACCTATTTCTCCTTCTACAAGCAAACTTTGTTCTTCCACCACATCTCCAATGACTTCATCTATAACCACAGATACTTTTTTTGTACATGATGTTCTTCACTCTTCTAATTTAACCAAAAAGAAGTCACCAGAGAAAACAGTTGCTTCTTACCAACCTTCCTGCTTGCTCAGAACACATAACATTGATAAAGATATGGTCAGAATAGACTGTCCAAATCCATCCTTCAAAAGTCCATTTTTACAAAAAATTGTTCCAGCATCTACTGCAAGATCTTTTTGTAATTCAACACCAACACTTCAAACAGATCTTATGAGAGTTTCTTCAACAGGAACAGCATTTCGTCATTCTAGTGGTTTTTCCAAAGTAGATAAACTTTTGGGTGTTCAGCGTTCCCCAAGCAGTGAGAACCCTGATACTTCTGAAGCTTCGAAAAAGATTGTGATTAAAACAGAGCCACGAGATACAAGTGTTTTAGTTACTAATGTCAAAATGGATGATGTTTCTACAAATGCGAAAAGAAGCTGTGTACAGATTCATGAGGAAATGTCATCAAACATAGACAACACATCAGAAACTTCTTGTGATTCTGGTGTATCTGGAGATTTTAAAGAGAAGAAGCAAGAGAATGATTCTATTCCCAACCAATCATCACAGTCTTCAACATCTGTTAAAGAAGGTCGTCAAAAAGCAGTTGCAACTGAACATCAAAAGATTCCACACACATCAGGGGCTTCAGCTAGAAAACACCAGCCTTGCCAATCATCTGATAATGGACCTGCTACAGAAGAGTCTGTAAATACTGAAAAAATGGACATCTGTCGACAAGTTAAATACACCAGGAGGCCACGTTGCATGCTTCAAGATAACACATCTACTGACAATTGTCCTGCTTCAAGCAAAGATCAACAAAATATTAATGTTATTAACCGCAGACAGGCTGCTTGTGGTGTTTCACGACCACCAGAAGACAAGTATAGGGCTCCATCAACGTCTTCATCAACTGATGGAACAGCTGAAACAACCACACACATCAAATCTGACCCTGATAGCGTAAACAGAGGAAGCAAAAAATCACAGGACCAGACATTGGTATGTCCCCATTGTGAAATCACATTTCTGGATCAGACACTTTATTTCCTCCACAGAGGTCTACATTCAGGTTCAAACCCATGGAAATGTAACATGTGTGGGCAAGAATGTAGGGATAAGTTTGATTTCACATCACATGTTATCAGTGAAGCTCATGGTTAAAATTTTTTTGTTTTTGTTTTGTTATTTCTACTTAATGGTAACATTATTGTTATGGTGCTTTTGAAAAAGACTTAGAAATACAGTATACAACATGTACAATTCAAAGAAGTTAAAAGAACATTTATGAGTGTACATTTTAGTATTAAGTCTTATGTAACTTTGCTGCTAATGGCAACACCAAAATTCTATGTTTAAAGATTTTGATACATTAAATAATATTTCATATATAACACTAAAGGACATTTCACATATAACAGACATAATATTTTAGGACATAGAAATACCTTCATATATTGTATCATTAATTCATATATATATATATATATACGGCCTTCCAAGCTTTTTTCAGTTCTGTCACAATCACTATTCGTTGACAATAAATATTTCCCTAATGCAGTTTGTTGTTATGTTTAACCATAAAAACAGCAAGTGACCAGTGTAAAAACCTGGATTTTGCACTGAAGAATTAATTGATAGGAATCTGTTGTATCACTTTTACAGCTTAAGTGTTGAACTTTTCACTAAATTTCCACCAACGTTCTTAACAATAATAGTCTTGAGTAATCTGTCACACTTCTTAATGAGACTTATTGATACATCACACATTTCTTAATAGTGATGCACAAAGTTCTTAACAATGGTATATATTTGTACATACAGTTTTTAACAATGATACATATTGATACACCACACATTTCTTAACAGTTGTATATACATTTCTTAACAGCGGTATATATTTGTACTTACAAATTTTAACAAGTCATGCTGAAATAAACAGTTGCTGCCCCTTTCACCTTTGTTTAGCATATACTTTTTTTTTGCTGTTGACAAGAGGTAATAAATCCTTTCATGTTAGCTAGTTTTTTGCTAAGGACATACTGTGTATTCAAAAGAGCCATCAGGCAAGACCTTGTGTGTACATAATGACTTGTAGGTGTTCAACAAAACTGAACTGTCTGATGAAAACAACAGCTGGTGGTTGGAGTGTGTCTTGAAGTTCAGCACACTGTTGAAAGTACATTTGTTGCCATACAGGCATATTTAAACAAGCAGCAAATTTCATTACCATGTTTCTAGTAGAGTAGCATCAGTGAATACATTAAGTGTGCTATATCATTGACTTGCAGGAATTTACGGACATTACCACCAACATGCCTTTCATCATCTTTTGCATATACTCTGTTGAATCAGACCACTTCTCTTAGTAAGTACCTTAATTTTTCTTTTCTGTGATTAATGGACCTGCTCATAAATGAACTGAACAGTATTTTTTATACATCCTTCAGGGCCCTTTAACATGTTATCAATTAACAGGTTAGATTAAGTGAATAATTTTTTTACTGCCTTTCCAACAACACAAGTTCTAAAATTTATAAACCTCTTTAATGTCATATTTATTTACAATTATTCCCCAACTGCTTGAGTTGAGCATTTTAACAAATACAGATCACTTAGGACTATCATCAGTAACAGCAGATGATACATTAATTGGTGCTAGTTGAACGTTCGTGTTAAGAAACATAATGTTAAGTTTAGAAACTAGATTCCAAATGTTCGTGATCTAACAAACTTGCATGATCTGTGGTAGAGATAAAAACTTTGATTTAACATCATATGGTTTGTCATGATCTTACAATCTGAAAAGTTCTGGCAGATATGAAAAATCTTGATTTAACATTGTATAGTTTCATAGATATTACACTTTCCACTATAGTTGACTCGGGGTTTTCTGTTGACACTTAGATTGAGCACAAGTGAGAGAGACAACTGAAATAGTTTGATAGTACTGCCCTTTTTACAAGTTTTGGGTAGTGCGTAAACATTTTACCAGCTTTTTCTTCAAAATATTCTGTTAATTTGCATATTACAAAGATTTGGAAATGTAGTTGACACACCTAGAAAAATATATTAATAATGTGTATAATGCTCATATAGGTAACTACAGTGGTATATTTATTCTGAGGTGTCAGCTATATATTTAAAATTAATATGCAAATATTTTCTGTTGTTTACCCAATTTAAAGAATAAAGTGTATCAGAGGCTACAAATTATACTGTTAGTAATTCTACATTTGTACTTTCTTGGAAACAAAGTTCTTTCTGAAAAATTGCTAGGCTAATCGGGTAAATATATAATATTATTATAAAAGCTATAACTAAATTAAAGTTAAAAATATAATTAATCAAGACAATTAAACTTAAATCAAAAGGCAGTTTTTTATTATTTGAACTCTTTTTAATTATACTTGTTCATTTTTGATTTAGTACAAGTTAAAAATTTAGCAATGGCATTATATTAGTTACATAATTTTTAATATAAAGATGGTTGGAAAATTTTTCTTTTGGATTTATGTGCATCATTCTTTTTTTCTTTTTTTTTTTTCAATGCTTCTATCCAAAAAGTCCCACAGTGGGTCAGTCTTAAGTTTACAGACTTAAGATACTAAGTTTCAGGGTTTAATTTCCTATGAGGGACAAAGCACAAATTGTCTATTGTGTGGCTTTGTGCTAAAATATACACAAAAACAGTCTGTTGGAAAAGTAAAATATGCACTTTTGGAACACCAGAATAATTTTGTTTGCCTGGACATAAAACTTGTAGGGCATATTTTTGCTTTTCACAGAAACATTAGTACTTTTCTATATGTTTCAAAAAAAAAGTTAACACTACCTCAAGTTATATAAAATAAAACAAAATGTGAATCCTATAGTGCATGTAATCACTAGTTACTCACTTAAATAATGATGGTTTTAAAATGTTGGTATGACCTGCTGTTAATGATGTCAACAGCAGTGTGCTGATCTTATCTCTAGGTAGTGTTGATAGTATGACCTGCTGTTGATGGTGTTATTAACAGTGGTGTGCAGGTCTTGTTTGTAGGTGATGTTGGTAGTATGACCTGCTGTTGATGGTGTCAACAGCAGTGTGCAGGTCTTGTTCCTAGATGATGTTGGTAGTATGACCTGCTGTTGATGGTGTCAACAGCAGTGTGCAGGTCTTGTTTCTAGATGATGTTGGTAGTATAACCTGCTGTTGATGGTGTCAACAGCAGTGTGCAGGTCTTGTTTCTAGATGATGTTGGTAGTATAACCTGCTGTTGATGGTGTCAACAGCAGTGTGCAGGTCCTTGTTTCTTGGTGATGTTGGTAGTATAACCTTACTTGCTTCAGATGCATAGCTTTACAGTGCTACAATGTACATCATGTGATAGATAGTAGTTTGTAACACTATGCAGTACAATGTCACACTAACATTAAAATTCCAGCTTTAGACTCACATGTGATAGGTAGTAGTTTGTAACACTACGCAGTACAACGTCACACTGACATTAAAATTCCAGCTGTAGACTTGCATGTGATAGGTAGTAGTTTGTAATACTACGCAGTACAATGTCACACTGACATTAAAATTCCAGCTGTAGACTCACATGTGATAGGTAGTTTGTAACACTACGCAGTACAACGTCACACTGACATTAAAATTCCAGCTGTAGATCTACATGTGATAGGTAGTAGTTTGTAATACTACGCAGTACAACATCACACTGTCATTAAAATTCCAGCTGTAGACCTACATTATGATAGATAGTAGTTTGTAACACTACGCAGTACAACATCACACTGTCATTAAAATTCCAGTTGTAGAACTGTGTTATTATTAGTTAATTAGTTGACATTAATTACTTTTTTATAGTATCTGTCAGGAATGTAGTTTATGCTGAACATTTTCATGAGATTTTAAAAAAATTATTGAAACATACTTTTCCTTCCCTTATCTCGTTCACCACAAAACACGTTATTGAACCATGTGAACTGGTTCAGAAAAAGAAAGTTATATTTCGCAGGACAATGTGTGGGTATTTGCTACTTAAGAAGAAATAAGAAAATGTGTGAGTGATCTAAAAGTCATGTTTTTATTGACTTAGGATTTAAATTTGTTTGTAGTTTTTACATGTTGTTTACAGTAATTTGTGAAAAGTTATTTGAATAGATAAGTCATTGCAGGAATCCACTTACGTGGCTGGTGCTGCTTGACACTGTCAAAACACCAGTACTATTGCTTGGATGATAACAGTAAAAAAATGAAAGCAGGCAATTTGTGTGTAAAGTTAGTGCTTGTCTGGAAATATTGAAGTCTCTGAGCTTAACTCCTTTACTAACTAACTTGACTCAATAGTTGACTGACTGATGGCTACATTAGCTTAGCACTAACTTTTATACACTGTCCTTCTGCGGTTTTTACCAATTAAAACAGGAAATCATACCTTGCATTGTTTACTTCTAAAGAAATTGGCTTGAAGCTTTTAAAGTATAATACACAAGTTATTGTCATTCTTGTTTTCCAGGCAAGGAAACTTTATTAATAATGATGAAGAAGGTTTTAAAGTATCTGAATATGTTTAATGTAGGATAATTCCTCTATTGCTTAACCCTTAGGTTAACGTAGCAACATTGCATCTTCTCTTTGATTAGATGAGATGACAATAGAAGTTTTCTTTGCCACCCACACTGAGGATATGAAATTAGGTTAACTGTGTGGGAAGTAGTTGTTCTAGTACCACGATATGTATGATATATATATTTACAGACACATATACTCTATAACATTAATACCTGTTTAAATTAATCCAGTTTTGCCTGGAGTTTCATATTTGGTGTTCTTGTACAGTGTAGATCTTATCACCAGTGTGCTCCTTTTTATAACCTGTTGTTGTACATGGCACATTTTAAAACAAAGTGAATATCTTACCTGTACACAGTGCTCAAAGCTTTTCATCTTTGTCTTTCAAAGTTAAAGCATTAGCTTGCAAAGTTGTATATTAATGTATTACCATTGTGTTGTATAAGGTTTTTATTGTGATTGTTAATCTTTCTCTACATGCACATTTGTAATGTTTCTAACATATACTTGTGTCTTAAAAACATTGATACTGTCAATTGTTAATATTTTATGTGCAATCACATAATTGCAACGTTTATCTCTGGAAATTTTCAGACTGCTTGTCTTTTACGTTAATACAATATTTTATAAAATTTACATTACAAAACTTTTTTGACTTTGGTTCTATGCCAGTGTAATGTATTGAAATACATCCAGCATGTTAGTGGATTAGTTATTTCTGGCATCTATTTTTCAAAGTATTTAAGGAAGATGCTTTGTTGAAAGAACAGTTGAAGATTGAATTATTGTTACAGTTTAAGATTGTTAGGGACTGTTTGTCCACTTTTGGATTGGTTATTTTGTGCTAAATCATTTTCATTTTCTCTTTAAATTTAAAC